AAGGTGACGGGTGGCGTAGAAGTGGCCGGCTTGTTTGGTTACGTTGTATGACATTCTTCACATTTTTGTAACACCTCAGAACCCCCGATATCTTTCAGATTTCAACCAAACTAACATGGAGGTCAGCACTAGCTATTGTATTTACGCGTCGGTGGCAAATGTTAGTTCAGAGAGGTCTCTAGACTCCGATATCTTCCAATCACCCACTCATCTCGCGTGGATATCAACAGAGATAATATTCATCTAGCGCCTCGGTGGCAAATACTAGCTTGACGAGGTGGCTAGACATTCAACATTTCAATGTGGACATACTGAGTGATTGGGTTTCTTGGAGAAATAATTTGTTGGGATCACAAACCAAACATCTTGGGCGTGGTTATGGGAACTGTTGAAGGCACAGAACTCACAACTTGAAACAAAGCAATATCTTCATGGCCGCAATTGGCAAATAATTACTTGTATAGGAGGCACCTTTGAAACTTTGAAACCCTTGAAAGTTCACTTACGAAGATACGGACATGCGACAGACGAGTTACTCATTTGGGAAATCTGTTGATCACAAAACTACCCTTCATCACGCATTTCAACAGAAGGATGTTTCAATTGTGCAAAAAGGAAATCTATTGAAGCACTTCCTAGACTCTACTCTTCTATCTTCTACGGTGGCGACTTCAGCTTAGTGGATGGCTTGAGCCTATCTACACTGACCAACATGAGACACAGCTATTGAGTCTTTAAAAGGGGTAGAGCTGCTGGTTTCTGTTGATCAATTGAACTTCAGAGTGTCTCTCAATTACCTCTACGAACATCTCCTGGAGTGGGATCTACGCCACCTCCAGCATACCCATCCCATATCAGCTCAAGCCACTAATGCTTGTGACAAGTACAGCTCTTCTTCAGAGTTCGTTCAAGTCATGGAGCCTCTGAATCTTCTCGAGTGTTACGCTTCCATTCGGCAAGTCCTGGAAGAATTCAAAGAGGACAAAGCTTCACAATTAAGAGGCTTCCGTTTCAGAATCCTCGACGTGCAAGAGGGAGAAGATGCAGAGCAGTTTACTGAAATCTGTATGGGTGCTACCCAGCAAGAGATCGAAGACTATGAGTTTTTCAAGTCGACTCTCATGGTTATTACTGTCCCTGGAAGTGGAGAGCTCAAGTGTCTGGGCAAGATCCATGACTTGGGCTGGAACAAGCAGACTCGAAAACTCGATGTCTGGATTCGAACTCGACGAAGCGATCTCAGACAAGGCTCGCAGTGGAAGTGTTGTTACCTCACAAACATGTCGACCTCTGAACGGGAGCTCACTGCTCTCTTGGACTTCAAATCTCTTGTTCTGAGAGACGATATTCTGGAAGGGAAGTGCTTTCCTCTTCCTCAGGGCTCTGAGTCGTCCACCCAAGCTCTTCAAGAGAAGTACGAGGGCAAGCTGAATGCGTCTCAGGCTAAGGCTGTCTACGGCACCATGTTTTCTCGCAGTGTATTTTCGTTGATCCAGGGACCTCCGGGAACTGGAAAACAAGCACTATTGTGGCGATCATTTCGGAGCTACTTTCATCACCCATGGTCAGATTCTCAAAGCCTCTCATGTTCTGTGCACCTTCCAATGCTGCTGTGGACGAGTTGACCAAGCGTCTCGAATCTCACTTCAAGACGAAGGAGCTGAACTTCAAGATCATTCGCATTGGACGCGAGGAGAATGTTGATCCGGAAGTCGCTCATCTGACATTGGGTGGCATGATGAGATTGTTTTACAAAAAGATGCTGAGGAACAGGCTGAGACAGATGCTCTGGCCCTTCTTGCTAAGACTCTCGGAAAAGAGCTGGACGATCTCTACTCGAAGAAGAATGCCCTGTTTAAGAAGCTCGACTATCTGAAAATCTCTAGAACTGCGAGCCAAGAAGACTTTGTCGATACCAAGTTTCAACTGGGAGTGACTAAGGAATCAATCATGACTCTCCGCCCTAAGGTTTCCAAGCTTCGAACCAACCTTTGGGATCGTCGAAACCAGGCTCGGATTCGACGCGAAGAGTTCTCGAAGAAGATCCTAAAAGAGACAGACGTGTTCAGCAGCACTCTCTCCAGCTCTGCCAGTACCGCTGTTCAGAACAGTGGACGAAGTTTCCAAACAGTCATTATCGACGAGGCTGGACAGTGCACTGAGCCGTCTGTGTTGATTCCCCTTCAGTACAATTGCTCCAAGGTCATTCCTGTTGGAGACCCAAAGCAGCTGCCTCCCACAGTGCTTTCGACTCCTGCTGGAAACTTCGACTACGACAAGTCGATGTTTGTGAGAATGCTGAAGGCTCACCCAGAGGCCATGCACACTCTTGACACCCAGTATCAAATGCACCCGGACATTTCGCTGTTTCCCAGAGCGACCTTCTACGACAACATTCTCAAGGATGGGCCAGACATGGCTATCAAAACGTCGAGGGAATGGCACTCTAGAGAACACTTGCCTCCCTACAAGTTTTTCAACGTGAATGGCAGGCACCAATTTGGCGAAGGCAAGTCGTTCTACAACATCGCAGAGATCCAGTTTGCCGAGAAGCTGTTTTCAGCAGTATTGCAGTTCCGAGATACGTTCAGCAGTGGCAAACTGGAGATTGGTATCGTCTCTCCCTACAACAAGCAGGTTGAGAAGCTCAACTACCACTTCTCTGATACGACGAGGAGACCCTCGAGTGCCTGGAAATTCGAACTGTTGATGGCTTCCAGGGACGAGAGAAAGATGTTATCATCATGTCGTGTGTCAGAGCCGACCCTGCTGCCAACACTGTTGGATTTCTCGCGGACACTCGACGCATGAATGTTGCCATAACTCGAGCCAAGGCGTCTCTGTGGATCGTTGGAAACGCAGACACTCTTGTAAGCAACGAGCAGTGGCAGAGCTTGCTCAGAGACGCCAACGACCGAGGCATGTACTGCGAGTCTTCTTCTTTCCACTTGCGAGAGGCCATGTATATGGAGAGTCTTGGAGTGTCTTTGGAGACCCTGGGGTTGGATTAGTTTTTGAAGTAATTTAGTGTATGTGTTCATGGTCCATTAACACTGGTCTACGAGTACACTCTGTGGTGTAGAGTGTCGTAGTGGTTAAGCACGTAGCATATCTATGATACCCCAAATATTAGTATCATTAGAAGCGTAGTAAGGAACCCCTGTTTATGACACTCCTCAAATATTTGCTGTCCAAATATTCAGGCAGTTGAGGACATTTTCCCAAATATTCAATTTACGCTATAAAGCCAAAATTAAGATTTACACAAAACCTGGAGGTCTCAACTTTAAAACCTCAACTCCCAAACTCTAAAAAGTTGAAGATGTATTGGCTCCAACCTGCACCAGTCATAGCGCAGAGCTTTGACGACAAAAAAAACAACGCACAGAGACGAAAAAGATAATGCGAATTCTGTGGATCGAACACAGGACCTCCAGATTACTCTGACCGAAGAATGACTTCAGTCTGGCGCTCTCCCAACTGAGCTAAATCCGCTTGCTATGAGATTAGGGGGTGTAGATCGGCTGTTTATTCTTAAAAAAACGCGTCTATAGCGCGATTTCTTCCTTATTTAACCTGATTTCAGTATTTTTCCGACTTCCTTCTTTCCTAGAGCCCGTAGTCGCGATACTAACGAGCAGCAACACCCGTAGTTGTCATTTAGCTGTGCAAAGTAGTGTAAAGAACAGCAGTATAACGTACCTGTATATGCCCCCTACCTTTACACGGGGATGTTGATGGAATTTAAAACGACTTCTATATACTGTGCTAGAGACACGGTGTATTGGAGAGACTGTGAATATTTCATAGGACTAGGTTAGGAACGTAAAATGGCACTGATGGTTCAAATTGACAGTAAAAACAAAAATAAAAAAACAGAATGAGAGTAAGGAGAGTGAGAAGTGATCATAATAACTACTCTACTTCGTCACCATATTACTTTTGCTGTTATCCCCCAAATTAATTTAAAGTTTTTTTATCGTTTTTTCAACATTAGTAAGCCAGAATGACCACAGAGATACCTCCAAAGCGCCGATGGTTTAGTGGTAAAATCCATCGTTGCCATCGATGGGCCCCCGGTTCGATTCCGGGTCGGCGCAGGTAGGTTACGGCCATATCCTGGTGAAAATACGGCTTCCCGTCCGATCAGCCATAGTCAAGCACCAGAGAGCCCAGCTAGTATTGCAGTGGGAGACCATGCGAGAATCCTGGGTGCTGTAATCTTTTTGCAGCGCACGAGAGTGTGGAGTAGCCAGAGTAAAGCTTCTCGCTCTTTGCATATTTGTTGCTATTTCAGTCACATTTCTACCTTGAATACTGTCTTTGCGTGGTCTGTTTGTCTACTGCTGCTGTGTTAGTGAAGGAGGAGAGGCCAGAAAATGAGTCAGGTCTTAAATTCCCTTTGATCTTTTCTAGAAGACGAAACAGCATGTTGAGTATCGGCCAAACTGAAAGACTCTCTGTCTCAAATATCTATGATCTACACAGTAGGTTGGGACCTGCATCAGACGAGTGACTTCAAACGATATCTAGTTATTGAATCTAATCTGATGAACAGATCTGCGTAGATTCTGAGGGATTTGCGGTTCAGGAGGATCATGGTTCTTTCGATTATGAAAGAGGTGTAGGGAACTAACTTGCTATCCTCCAGTTTGTGAATGTAAAGTTTACTTATCGGGGATATGAGACATACAAGAACCGGTCAGAGAATAACAATGTGTAATGTTGCAAAGTTGCAGGCTTAGATATACCACCAACTCAGACAACCGTCTACCCTTATTTCTTGGCCAAAAGACGTCAGGCTCTGCACTTATGTTTGCGCAATCTCAATAGAGGTCGGACAGCAAACTAGTACAGGGAGCTACGAAAGGTGAATCGGATGACGCTAAGCACTAAAGGAGAGTGCCAGAAAACTACCAGGAACTATTTAAGCCCCAGTTTTGTGCGAAAAACAGCACTTTTCACGCACTCTCTACTGTACTCACCCCGGAACCCAGCGCGGTTTCTTGGTCTAGTTGGTCGTAGCATGTGCTTAAAACGCGGAACATCGGCAGTTAGATCCTGTCATAAATCATCTTTTTGCTGCTTGATTCTTCGCAGCGTTTCATTTTGCCAGCATTCTCGACATCCCTGCCGTGACGAACACCTATAGAAACAAGGTTTGATATTGGAGAGATCGGACAAAGATCTTCGCCTTCGAGCGGTAATCGGGTTATCAACGTGGAGAATATTGTTTTCCCCCTCCAGCTAATGTAATCGACTCTATTTACACATTTATCTGCGATCTCCCCTTTCTATATCTCCTGCCACAAACGTCCCCTAGCTCCATTTTTAGCGCTGCGCAGCACTCATGCACGATTCTGCAGATTGCTGTCTCATCCACAATCGCATTTTTCATCCTCCACCATGCTCCCGCCAGAACTAATCCTCATCGTGTGCACGTATTTGGAGCCGCGCGACATCATTGCGCTGGCCGAAACGACCCGCTCACACAATGCAACCCTCGCGCCAATACGAAAAATGCTGCTGGAGGGGCCCTACTTCAGTTTGGAACACAGCGACTGGGATTCGTGGCTTGTGCTTGCTGGGAACTACAAACCCGACACAGAAGAGCACTTTGTGCACGTTTCGATAGACGCCCACATCAACGAACCGCTGCCAGACGACTTCATAGCGCTCCAGGGGGACATGCAACGCAAATCGAGGTACTGGTGGAATTCTTGCGATCGTGGCATCTACGATCAGACGGCAGAAGACTTTGTCGATCTGCGCGCAGACTCGGGAGAGGACTCGTATCCGTCCAAGGAGGCCGTCCGATCTTTCTTTTTCGGCGAAGTTCGCAGTGACGACGACTACATTCACTACCAGCATACAACAAACACAGCAGCAGTCCTGGCTCGAAGCGACAGAGGAGTTGTGCTGCAAATCAAGCATCGTGGCGATAACGACTTTCGCGAGCTACTCATCAGCACCTCGTCATCTTACACAAACTGCTACGAGCTGCAGCTCATCGACGACACGGCGTTTGTGTACAAATGCGAACTGGAGACAGAAGAGCTCGCAGAGGGCACATATTGCGTTCCTCGAGGCCAGGATCTGATGCGCGTGGACGACGGAGACTCTACACAAGCTCCCTACGGTTGGTTACACTACAATGGGCGTCTGTACAAAGGTATCTACCACAGCGAGAAAGAGTTGGATATCGTGTCTGCGAGATATAAGGACGACCAGGAGAGCCCGATGGGCGGCTACGATATGTGCCACGACGAGCGATACCCACGGTATGGCATTGCTTTCTCGATGGGAGGCCTGTTTCCACTTTTTATCGCCGACATGAAAGCGCACGAAATGTCGGCAGTTCATCTGGATCGAGACCACGTGCCCCTGATCGGCGTGTCAAACGGACGCATGGGTGTGTGGAAGTACACGCAGAACTACCTGGAGGAGAAGTGCAAGGAGCAGAAGAAGCCGGACGTGCAGCTCGTGGTCACGGAAATCTTCGAGGAGCTAGATGCGTGCATCGAGGGCATGAACGACGCAGGAAACGGAGACTTTGATCCTGCGTGGTATTAGGAGGGTTGTTTTCAGGAAATTCGCAAAAAAATCAGTGATTTCGCGTGCTGTGGGACTATGCCAGGCCCAGACCCATCGGCCATCATAGTATAGTGGTTAGTACACCACGTTGTGGAGCAACGCAAGACCGTGGAAACCTCAGTTCGATTCTGGGTGATGGCAGTGCCATTCTTTTTGCTCTTTCTTTGCCTACGGGCTACCAGCTCTGGCTCCTCTCTCGAGTCCAGGGCGTTCTTTTTTTAAGGAATGTATTTATTATCTAAGGAAAGGCTAATAGTTAGTGAAACTGAATTAAACTGAGAGGTGGAATCTGAAAGAAGCTACCAGCTGGTTAGAGCTCAGTCTGGTAGTGGTCCTCCTTCTGGGCAGGCTTGCCGAGGTAGAGAGTGATCATCTTGGGGTCGAAGACAGAGTAGAAGTTCTTGAGGAAGTTGGCTCCCAGGACGTTGTTGTCGCCGAGACCGTTGTAGGCAGAGGTGCCAATGCCGACAAAGCAGGTCTCCTTGTCTCCGTTGTGCAGAACATCGTCCACGGGGATGCCAAAGTCGGCGAGAGTCAGTTTGATGGGGAAGAAGTAGGTGTCGAACTGGAAAGTGGCCTGGTGTCCCTGGGCGCAAGGGTAGGTCGCCAGGTTGTCCTGGGAAGAGAGACGGACTCCAGCGTTGTGCAGAATGGCGTCAAAGACAACCTTGTAGGTGGCAGGGTTGAGGTAGGTAAGGGTCTTGCCGGCATCGACAAACCACAGGGAGGAGTTGGCAAGAGGCTCGCCGTTGACGTTTCCGCCAGCCTGGAAAGCAAAGTGCTCGGGACCAGCAACTCCAAGGACCTTCTGGAGCTCTCCGTCGTATCGGCCAGTGTTGACACCACCAAAGGTGATCTCACTGTCGTTACCGAGGGAGAGAGCGTAGGTGCCGTTCTTGACAACGCCGGCAGCAACGAGCTCGGAGGAGTACTTTCGAACATCTTTCACATCAAGATCGAAGCCCAGACGAGCAACAAACTCCTCGTTGGAGACGTCAGAGCCGTTCTTGGCAGAGACGGGGTGAACAAGAGGAATGTTCACGTAGCCAGGCTTGGTAGGAGCAGCCAGAGCAAGGGGGAGGATAGCGAGGATGGTAGAGAAGAGCATTGGAGTTGGTTGTAGTTCTCTGGAGACTCGGAGTGGTATTTATATGGTCCCTACGGTGGATGACATCATTCGTACGGCACTTCACAAGGTACCAAAAGTCCGAATTGGGCAGATCTCATCCACATCAAGGTTTGTAGATCACCGACAGGTCTTAGCTTTCGGACTTACAGAAAGTGGGGTGGGTGTTGTATTAATCGTGAGCAGAGGTGCAGAGGTGCAATGCCGTATGGCAAACCACGTCATCATTTTGCTGATAAAAGATCTGTAGAATTTATGAAGTTAAGGTGGGTTTTCCAGTTATAACAGTTGTACTGTATTTGAGAATCATAAAACAGATGTCATCTCAACATTCATCCTAAAGAGGGAAGCGACAAAGGATGGAAGCAAGCAGGGACTCGAAGAAACAAGCAATGAGCGCTCGAGTTATTTTTAACATTACTCTCCGACCGTTTGGATCAATGGCTGCTCTGAAGATCATGACATCACCCGCTAAAAGTGAGACATGTCTATTTTTACTCGTCCTAACGAGACCTCCTCTGGGGTTTTCCGTTTGAAATTTGGTTCTTTCAGGTCTACATTTTTCCATTGACTTGATTCACAGATGTCGCTGGAAGTTTTTGTCGTTTTAATTCTTTCGATGCTGTCTTTCGCTTAATTTTGCTCCTCGAGCAATACACACACAGTTTTCATTCATCGTAACGATGCTTCCACCATGCACGGCCGGAAAGACTAACGCAGATAGGATGCCGAACATTTTAGGCTGCACCGACATTGCATGAGATATGCACATCTAGTGTGTGAGTGAGATATTCCCCTGATGGTAGAGTGGAGACATTGAGAGCACATGGTTGCAAGAATGGTGCCCTAGTGGGGATAAGTATACACGTGGTGTTGCTTTATCTTGGGTAAGATTAACCTGGGGAGAAGACTCGAGAAGGTTTTCCGAATGAAGCAACTCCAGAATATGTCATGCCATTGTATAGGTATTGATTATGGGAATGTTACAAGAGGTAATAGAGCTATCTAGTAGCTCCTGTAGCGAAGAGGTGTTGTAGTAGTCAGGTATTTCTATTACTCGTTCGATGAATATTTGTTGTGGTAATACTAGACAAACTGAGACAGTGCCAAGAGCCAGGGACAGTGAAACCAGAAATCTGCGAAATGACATCAGACTTCCCCTGGTTTCAGTAATTCAAATCAACTCTTGAAAACACCTCATGGGAAGGATAAATGGTTGTAGATCAGAATAGGGCTAAGAATACGGGAAGTTCCTGAGAAGACATCTGATTTATAGCTCAAGGTGAATGACACAGAATGGTTCATAGGACAGAAGTAGGCACAGCTCGAAGTTTCATTCAGCCATCAATGTTGTAAACTGTAGCTAAACCCGAACACTCCAGATCTTCGTGGCCGTATAGGTTGAACCTTAAAATCCAACAACTCCAACCTTAAAGTTTGGAGATGTGAGGGTCGGAAATACCGTACAAATGGAAGGTGCAACTGGACCTGCCAAAAAGAATCGATTGGAGCAGAGGGAAGCAAAAAGAAAGGTCGTACCCGGACTCGAACCGGGGTTACTGGAAGTCAACTGCACGAGTCAGAATCCAAGGTGATAACCACTACACTATACAACCTTGCTAATGGTGTGATATTTGGTGGCCGACTTTTGAGCCTGAAGAAGAAAAAATCGACCCCGTTTTGCGGACGCTACAGGCGTCCTAGAGTTAAATGGTGAGTGGCATTCGATTCACAAGACTCAATAGTACCCATAAACGTTTAGTTATTTCAATTTGATTGTGGTACAGTCAACTCCATACCATCTCTTTATTGTCGGTAACCTTGTAATTACAAGTACATACTGTGAATCATCACAACTTTGTCTATCATCTGTATACATATAAATAATTAAAGCACCAGAGGAACGCTCTTCTCGTCCTGGTCCCGAATGTTGGGCTGCACAACGGTGCTTCTGAGGGGAATCATTCGACGATGGTCCTCCGCGGCTATCTCATTAGGATCGCGGTACTTGAGATAGCTGCCGGTGTCCTTGATGTTGGAGATACAACCAACCGTCTCGTCAAGATCCTCCCACTCGTCTTCAGTCATCTTGATACCGTAGGCCATGTGGCACCTGTAGAAAACAGGCTTGTCTGAGTCTCTGCCGACAAAGACAAAACCTGGATTTGGCCACTTGGCCTGTGGACGAATAATGTAGGACTTCTGGGTTGCCAAGTCCACGACTATCCTGCCGCAGCTGAGTGTCTGCATTGCCCATCTGCCGTCTGCGGAACAAACAATACCATACTGCTGGTGTCTCGAAAGAAATTCTCGCTTGGGAGCTAGAAGCAGCGTCTTCATGTCAGCCCGAAGTC